ACGCACACTCAGCCAGCCGAGGTTGACCAGCACCCACTGGACGTAACTGGCTGGCTGCTGTGAGCTGAGCTGCCCAGCCTGGGCCACTGAGGCTGGGTGACTCAGGAGATCTTTCGCCAGCTGCCATGCAGCCTGACTCGTTGCTGATAAAGTCCTCTAGAGATGGATTCGCAAGTCCTATTAAAGTAGCAGGAGTGCTGCTGGACACTAAATGAAATTCTGCTTTTTATTAATTTCCAGGGTATCTGCCAGTAAGCAGGATTGTTTCCTACAGAGTGTATCTCTTGTCATTGAGCAAGTCCTCTTAGGAGAAAAATGACAGGTCCGGGCTTCTCAGCCAGGCACTAGAGCAGGGAGCTCCTCCTCAGTCCAAGCATGGGACTGCCTTGTTCTTCACCATCTGATAGGGGTTTATGACTAAATTATCACGTTACTTAGAGCAGCAGCCTCCAAAAGGCTTTCTTCTTGAGAAATATACTGTAATCCCCTGGTGTATGGAAGAAAATACTTGAACCTTGATGTACACATATATTTTCTAGTAATTATTAACATGTTAGTTCTCTATGTGCTTCTCATAATCCATGTATGTACAATACAACATGGCAATAATTTATAAATAAAGGTTGTTCATATCTTTTCAAATTTAAAAAAACCCTGAATAAAAAAAGAGCTGCAGATATAGAGTATCCTTGGGTTCCCTCCTCAGTACTGAAAGCAAAGGTCTGGCCCACGGAGAGGAGGCTGTCCTGTCATAAAAAAAAAAGCCGGCCGGGGAGATGGCTCAGTGGAATAAGCGCTTCCCTGGCAAGTGCAAGGGCCTGAGTTCAATCCCCGGTTCTGCAAAAAAAAAAAAAAAAAAAAAAAAAAGCCAATGTGTTGGTGCGTGTCTGTAATCCCAGCACTCAAGAGGCTGAAGCAGGATTGTTGCAAGTTCAAGACCAGCCTGGCCTACAAAATGAGCTCAAGGCCAGCCTGAGCTGCATAGGGAGACCCTGTCTCAAAATGACCAAAAACAAAACTAAAAAAGAAAATCTAAATAGTAATTTAATTGGCAACATATCTCCCAAAACTCCTTGATTAAAATGTACGGTATTTCAAAGTTACCTTAGGATAATAATTCACTTTTAGTCTTGTATGCATTTGTGTGTGTGTGTGTGTGTACAATGATAGGACTCAAACCAGAGCTTCACCGTGATAGACAAATGCTCCATCACCGAACTCTAATAACTGCAACCATCAGTTGAAGTCTTTCCTGAAAAATTACTCATTTGAAATACATTTCTCTGCCTGTTCAGTTTTAATTAAAAGTTGATATCCAAGTTAGATGTATATTTTTAAGGTATCTATTTTTCCCATGGAGTCTGTCTATAAATATGAAAGCTTTTGTATTTGTCTCATGACTAAAATTTTAAAATGAAAAACTAAGAATTTTATGGAATTTTTATGAATGCATATGTCGTACGTTTTATCTTCATGTCTATAGAAATCTTAATACTGTCTACATGGGATAAAATTGAGAGTGCTTATAAATAACTCATGTATTTGTTAATGTGATTTTAGTAAAATATGTTGTAGGTATTGATCCAATTAAACATGTCATTAACATTAATATAATGTTAAACATAAACATCATCTCTGGTAGATGTTTAAGATAATAAAAATTGTAAGTTTGATGTAAAAATAAAAAATTCAATAGACATAAATAAGATATAACAAATATACTTTTAACAATAATTATGTTTCTCAATATATTTACTTAAGTAGGCTTCCCAAATCTCTTTGATAGCTATACCTTTAGATGTTTGCTAGGTTGAATTATTTGATGAATATTCATTAATATTTTGACCACTTTCAAATACAACGAAACATTAAAACATGTACTAAGAGTATATTTGAGTTTATTAACTTTAGACTTTTTTTAAAAATTTTAGTACAGGATCTCATGGGATGATTGCAACAATCCTCGTGCTTCAGCCTCCCAAGTGCTGGGATTACAGACATGCACCACCACACTGGCTTTTTTTTTTTAATGGCAGGATAGCCTCCTTTCCATGGGCCAGACCTTTGCTTTCAGGACTGAGGATGGACCCAAGAATGCTCTATATCTGTAGCTCTTTTTACTGCTTTATATTTTGAAACTGGGCTTAGCTTGCTAAATTGTCCAGGTTGGTTGGTGTCCATTTGGTATCATCCTGCCTCAGTCACCCTAGTAGATGAGATTACAGCTACCATATGCGCCATTGCACCTAGCTCCAATGTCTTGAGGTTTTTATGGTATATGCAGGTCTTCTGGGATAGATGGGTGGGTTTTAAATAGTTTTTAGAAGTATATTTTACAAGTATATTTATGACTCAATTTGTAAGACAGAAACATTTGCTCTTAAATGCCCCATAAACTTTGTTGAAGCAGGAGTTATGAAGGGTCTGGTTTGTTCACCTAATTATATTAACTTTAATTTGTTCATTTTAATCAGAGATTTTTAATTAAGATAGAAATTTAAAAAAATCTATTGCAGATTTGGAGCGGTTGTTTTGTCTTTAAAATGCATCAGTGCGCTTTTTTCTTTTTCAGTTTGTAACTATTTCAGCTCTGGAGAAAAAGAAACTGCTATCATCCTGTAAATATATATTGAAGCTTTGATTCACAAGCACTTCTACGGACTGGGGATGTAGTTCCCCAGTCCCTATAGCACCTGCCTAGGAAGCCCAGGGTTCAGTTCTCAGTGTAGAAGATAAAGCACACCCAACGGAAGATCCAATACTATTATGGGCTACTAGACTCTTTTATACTATTTTGCTGAGATTACACACCTATAATATTCAAATAACGGAACTTAACGAAAAAAGGGGATACAGATGAATGTCCATTTTGTATCCGTGTATTCAAAGTGGTTAGGATAGATACATAGTTACATTCTCTTAGTGAATAGAGGGATTTGTTCTAATGGTGTTTGTAAATAGGATATCATGTCTGCATCTTGTACAGCAATTAACCACTAAGAAGAATGTATGCAATGTGTTAATTATTGAAACTGTCCTAGCGATTTGATTTGAAACCCGTCTCATTGCTATTTGTTTCTCAATAAAATTATGAAAAAATTTAAAAAAATTAAAAAATTAAAAAGTATAATGTGTACATCACTGGAAAACTTGATTTTCCTGCTGCTATATTTTTTAAGTATTGCTATGCAATACTAGTTCATCCATTAAAACTCTTTATATATAGTGTTTTGTGAAATCATTATATGTTCTGTTAAGGGACATGTGGGTAATTTTTGGTCTTCTCTGTAACAACAATAACAAAAATGTTTCCATAAACATTGTGTATCTTATTCCAGGTTATTGACAGTTTTTCTAAGATGTATAGTTTGAAGGCTAAGATCACAAATGACATTGCTTAATTTTATTAAACTCTTCTCTAAATCCCCCCCTCCAAAAACCCTTTCAGAACGGTAAGAATGAAAATCTATACAAGCCAACCCTATCAAAATCCATGCCACTTCCCATGCTACCTTACTAGAAGATTTATTAGCTGCAAGTGGAGTTCCAAAACACTTTCTTTGTCTACAGTATTTTGGAGTACCCAATTTCTGATTGACTGCAAAATTTTCTTAGGTAAGGAGACAAAAATAATCCATCAAATCTGGACATGGTGGTATATGCCTGTAAACCCAGCACTTGAGAGGAAGGAAGATCCAGGTAATTTGGGGCACCCTAGGCTACTGGTGAGGTCAACCCAGCCTGTAATAGCAAGAGCAGACCTAGTGTCAAAAACAAAGACAAACAAAAACAAAGCAAAGGAAACCATAGCAACCCCCTAAACTCACAAGAAACCTGTTTTGTAAGACACAATAGAGATGAAAAGCTATCCGTGGGAGGATCTGAAGCAGGCATCCGAAATTTAAGTGCATACAAAGGATTTAAACCAATTTAATGCTTCTCATGAGCCAAAAAAAATTACTGAGAGAGATTAATGAAGGGTTTTGCCTTGCAGCACCCGTACTAAAATGGAACAAAAAGGATTTATGGTGGGTTTTAAAAGTTCATCTTTTTTGTGGTGTTGTTGAGACAGGGTCTCACAGTACACTTCAGGCTGGCCTGCAACTCTCAGTAATCCTCCTGCATCAGCCTCCCAAAGGTGTGTGTCACCACACCGGTCAAAAATTCATCTTTAAATATATAATATCTGTCTAAACAAAGTGGAAGCACCTCCTTGCCTTTACCCCCTCTAAATGCAAAGGTCAAGCAAGAACAACAACTATGCACATTTTTGGCTTTTTTTTTTTTTTGCAGTACCAGGGATCAAACTCAGGACCTTACACTTGCCCAGCAGGCATTTATGCCACTGAGCTGTATCCCTGGCCCCATTTTTGACATTGTAATGCAAACATTTCATCGTGAAACAAAGAACCCCAAACTTCTCTATGTTGTACCCACACTGAGGATAGGGTGTGCTAGATTTTTAAATGTACTAATTCTGAAAAAAGGTTAATTTGGCAATTCCCCACCCCCTTAAAGTGAAGGTCCCTGGGGCTCCTACAGGACAAGTGTTAACAGGCACCTCCAAAGCCGCGGTTCGCTGGTGGACATGCCTGTGCTATAATAAAAATATTTTTTTTTTTGTTCCTCGAACGCCTTCAGGGCACTTTTGGCCAGCGGGAGAGTTGTGAGGTTCGAACTCCAGCAACCTGAGGCTGACAGCTTTGTGGAAGCAGCCACTTAAAGGCCTGAGCTAGGGCCAGGCCCCCAATAAAAATATTTTTGAGAGGTGCTTTTGTTAATTATATTCTATATGTGGCCCAAGATAACTGCTTTTCCCTCTCTGCGACCCGGGCAAACTTGGGCTTCCAAGCGGCGGGCGGCAGGACAGCCCCGCCCAGCTGAGCGCACGGGCGGGCTCGGAGGTACTCAGCAGGGCTCCTCCCCACCGTAACCCCCACCCCACCCCCGCCGGCGGCCACTGCGAACTTCCGCTTCTTCCGGCGCCTGGAGGCCCACAGCCTCCGCCCGTCACTTCCGGTCCTCAGGAGTCGGCGAGGCGAACCCCCACAATGAAGCGCGTGTTTGTTACCGTAGGGACCACCAGTTTTGACGAGCTCATAACATGCGTGTCAGCGGAGGACAGTGTCCGTGTGAGTGGGAGAGGCGAGAGCCTGCGGCCTGCCTCGCCGCGCTTTGCTTATCGCTCACCGCCTCCGACATTATTGTTGGCCTGAGCAACCTTGCCTGACCTAAGCGTTCCGAGAGAAACTCCCGGCGCCTCGCCTCCGGCGCCGACCACCCCAGCCCCGCCTACCTCGCTTCGCCTCCCCCGCCCCTCTTCCTGCTACTTCGCCGCCTGTTCTGGCCGCCCCTCCCTTTCCTCCCTTGGCTCCTCCTAGCTGTCCACAGCCATTTTGCACCCGGCCCCTCCTTCCAAGGGCTCCGCCCCCCGACTTTGGGCTCGGCTCGGGCTCGGCTCGGGCTCGGGCTCGGGCTCGGGCTCGGGCTCGGGCTCGGGCTCGGGCTCGGGCTCGGGCTCGGGCTCGTCTTCTCTTGTCTTGGAAGTCGCCAGCCAGGTGCGGACGCCCCGCCCCCGCCCCCGCCCTCTGCCCCGCCCCCGCCCTCGCCCTTGCCCTAGACCTCGCCCTCGCCCTGGCCCTCGCCTTCCCACCCCCACCGCTGAGTTGGTGAGTCTCGCCCGCGGGCTCTGGCCGCGGCGCTCCGGAGCTCTCTGTCTCCGGAGGCTGGAGTCGAGCTTCTTTCGGCTGGACTCGTGAGTTAGAGGCAGACTTGGGTCCCCCCAAGTTTGCGACGCCCATTCGAGGTCTTTTTTGGCTGTCGTTCGAGCGAGCTCAGTTGTTTAACACCTCTGAACGGGGACTTTGGATTCTTTGGGCTCCGGGGGTTTCTAGTGGGGCTGGGATGGGGACGGGGCGTGCGTTCGTTTTGGGAACCGAAATTGGTCTCGGGTGAGCTGTTGGGCAGCTCACGCTCCGTTCTGCGCACCGACTTAAGGTTTGGTCTCCTGCGGTTCTTGCAGAAGCCAATTTAAAAGGCCCGCGCGTTTCCTTGTTTCCTGTTTTAGATCTTCAAGAGCCTCGGCTACAGCCAGCTTACGCTCCAAATTGGGAGGGGAACGGTGGTGCCCGAAGCCTTCAGCGCTGAGTCCTTTACTCTAGACGTTTATAGGTACAAGGATTCTTTGCAAGAAGACCTTCAGGAAGCAGATCTCGTTATTAGTCACGCAGGTAAATGTTTTAGAATCCGAAGGTTCAGCCGTTGCTAAATAAGTAACTGATGCTTCAAGTTTTTCGTGGTAAAATAAAATGATTACGTTCGTTTCACAGGCTAACTTCGTGGTAGCCTTGTTGAATGTGATTACTTGAATATAACAATCGAGAATTTTGCTGGACAGAATGGAATTTAGTATTACTGGGAAAGAGAAGTACGGGAAATTATCTCTGTATCCCAATTTTACAGTACGAAACCGTAAACACAGAGGAGCAGGATAATTTACTTAATGGTGTGTAATGCTTAATGTAAAAAAATGCTTAAACTGAAATTAGTACGTAGGCCTTGATTTGAAAGGAATATTTAGACTGCTAATTGGTTATAAACAAACTGGATTTGACTTTTTTGGATTTGTATTATGTGTGAATGTGAAATAAGCTCAGTAAAAGATATTCTTTAACAACCACAAACTCTTAACAGAACCACGTGAATGATATTCCAGTACCTTTACGAGTTACCTGGTGAAACAGCACTTTCATTGCCGTCTTTACCGTCGTGTATGACGGGGTGTTTCTTGGTTTAAAAAAATCTATTTTGAGGAGTGAAAAGTCCTTAGAAACCAACGTTAACCAATAGATTGCTAATTGAAAATGTATAGTGTATGGCTAACAGAATTTTTGGCATTGCTTTAATACTTTGTGTTTTAACTGATTTAAAGCTGCCAAAAAAATCTCGGGAACTAAATATTATTAGTGTATCTATTTTAGAGATGAAGAAGGTGAGACGGAGGTTAAGTAACATCTAGCCAGTAAATGGTGAGCAGATAACAATCTAGAACTATGTTTTAACTAGTTTAAAAACAATCTATGTTTTTAATTACTTACCCTAGTGTATGATATCCAAAAAAAGGATTATACCTAATGAGCAGCAGTATTGAAAGTGCTCCCATTTAAAACGTTCAGATGGCTTTTGGTTTTAAAACTGAATTGATCTTGATATTGTATGTGTACTTGTTCATGGACCTTAACTATCACTCACAGGTGGTACACTCATAAAGAGAGATTTAATTGGTGCCTGTTACTGTTGAGGTTTGCTTTTTCTGCTTGTGTTTGAATAGAAATCAGTACCTATGGTTTCTTTGTATCCACAGGGTTCCAGCGTACCTGATGATACAAATTGGGGATGCCAAAGCCCCTTATATGAAACAGCCTTATTATGTGTCTGTGACCTACACACATCGTTCTGTATACTTTAAATTGTTGCTAGATTTCTTACAGTATGCAATACAGTGAAAACACTTAAGTAGTTTTTATAGGAATTAACTCAGGCCCACTGAGTTATTCCACTGAGCCATCTCCCTGGCCCCCCCTATTTAGGGAATAAAGAGTAAATGTGTACTCAGTAGAAGTGTTTTTTTTTTAGTATTTTCAGTCCACCACTGATTGAATCAGAGGGTGTCGTACCTGACAATACACATGGGTGACAGTATAGTTTTGTGTATAGTATGTTGAACCTGAATCTTACTTGGATTCAGGGCACTCTGCAGAGATAGCACTAGCAAGCAGGTAGCATGGCACTGAAACATGGCCATATAATCTGCATTGGCTAAAAAATAAATTTGAAATTCAGGTTTGCAAATAATAAGTATATTTTTGTCATTTTGGATGTATAATTGAAAGGTTTTTATTTAACCTGAGAATTTTAATTATAAAGCTTGGTAGAGCACTTTTACATTTTAAAAATTGCTTTAACAAATTTATTTACATAGGTGCAGGAAGCTGTTTGGAGACTCTGGAAAAAGGCAAGCCGCTTGTGGTAGTTATAAATGAAAAGTTGATGAACAATCATCAGCTGGAATTGGCAAAGCAGCTACACCAAGAGGGGCATCTCTTCTACTGTACCTGCAGGTATACTAGCACGTGATTATTTGACCTCTTACCTTACCCAAGTTCCCCCAGCTAGTCTTGACCTAGCACAATTTGTCTCTTGCTTCTTACACTTTTAACAAGCATACTTAATGTCCTTTTTATTTATTTTTAATTTTTTGTTTTAATGAGAAAGAAATAGCAATGAGTGTCAAAACAGGTTAGTAGGACAGTTACAATAATTAATATATTGCATATTGTCTTCATAGTAGACTTTAATGTTCTTACAGATCTCATCTGTTCATCTTTCACTTCAGTCTGTGTTGTGTTTTTTTTGTGTGTATCTGGTGGTCATCTCTTGCCATGTTAGTACGTGAGAGCATGAGAGTATGTGTGTGTTCAGGTGTACACATTATGAGAAACTGCTTTTTTGAGTTCCCTATTTTTTTTCTTTTCAAAGTTTTATTGATAAACATATAGCAATGAGACAGTTTCAAATCAAATCGAGAGTACAGTTTCAACAAATAATACACTGCATATATTCTTCTTAGTGGTTAATTGCTGTACAAGATGCAGACTTGTGATCCTACTTACAAACACCATTAGAAAAAATCATTCTATTCATTAAGAGAATGCAACTATATATCTATCCCAACCACTTTGAATACCCAGATACAAAATGAACATTCATAGTTATACCCCAATTTTTTAAGTTCCGTTGTTGAATATTATAGGTGTGTAAACTCAGCAAAATATTCTAAAAGAGTCCAGTAGCCCATAATAGCATTGGGTCTTCTGTTTAACTGGCAATGTCAGAAATTATTGACCTGAGTCCCCCACAGCTCAACATAACAACATGGCTTTACTTCCTGTATTTCGTCTTCATACTTTTCTACTGGATGGTTAAGACCAGATAAAGCAGGACCTGTGCAACAAGAGTTGTAGCTTTTTGGTCTGAGAAGGTCAGGGAAATGCCCTCAGGATTTATCCTGAGATCCTGTACCTCAGATTGTAGAACCTTTATCAGTGCACCATGTGGATGAGTCACGGCCAATGCTTGGCCAATGTGTTGAGTTCCTTATTTAGATTTTTAGTATTTAAGAAAAGTATTTGATTTTTAGTTGTGTTTTCCTTAAAATGCTTTGGAATCTCTAAATTTTATGTACTCGTACTTGTTTATTCAGTTGCAAAACTAAAATGTAGCAGGCACTGTTAAGTGCTAGAGATACAGTCCATGTTCTTGTGGTACTTTTGTTCTAGTGGTAGTTTCACATATCAGAGTATCAGAGTAATACTACAGAGAAGGTAAGACAGGGTGATGTGATAGCTGGGCTAACCATTAATTAGGCAGAATCATCAGGGAAGGCTTGACAAAGTACACGACACTTGAAGTGGGACCTAAATTGTAGGGAAGAACAATCACGTGAAGTTATAAGAGGCAGAGGAACAGCAATTATGAAAGCCTAAATTAGGAATAGACTTGCAGGCTGGTGTGTTTGAGAAACAGGTAAGATTAGTGTGGCAGGAGCATAGAGAGCAAGTGAGAGTGCGGACAGGAAAGGGATAGGCTAATCTGGTTATATGTGTAATGGGAAGCCATTGGCGCCTTTTAAGCAGAGAATTAATTTATGGTAAGGAATATTTTATAGAAATATATTAGAATTCAACAAGAACTGATCAACATCACAATAGAAGGATGAAGAAAATTGCTGGTTTGTTCTGTGTTAGTTCTTCCTTGAGATATTAGAAGCTTACCAAAGGGCCAGGTCAGTACTTCCCAATTGTTTGACTTTAAAATCTGTTCTGATTTGGTGTTTTAAAAGCTCAATACCTGATGAAGTATAAATGTTACATATGTATTATTCTGTTACTGTAAGTTGAAATTATTTTGAGATAGCAATCCCTACAAGAAACTATTTAGGATGTACTCTTCATTTTTCTGATTCTGTTCTGTAGGTACGCAGTACATACTTACTGTTCATTAGCTATTTAGCACCTATCATGCGCCAGAAATTTTTCTAGGCACTTAGTATGCATCAGTGAAAAAAAACAGATTCCTGTACTCGTTGGGAGGAGACAGATTATTGCTTATTTCAGGGATTAAATTATTGTTTTCTTCATCTCTACTGATAGAAGAGAACAAATATCAGGGTGTCTGCATAATGTAGAAGCTGATCTTGTGAAGTAGTGCAAGACTTTAGAAGCAAAGTTACATAGTTATGATTATGTATGCTTAGATAATGGGCATAGCTGCCCTTGGGTGAACATTGTTCGCTGACATTTTCTATAGAGTATTAGATTCCCACCTTCATGATTGCTTTATTTATGCAGGACCATGTTTCCAGATGTTTTGGTGAATATTTTCATTGGAAATGTTAAATTTGCTTTCATTTTATGTGATACAAGGGGTAATCAAAAATATATGGTAAATGTTTTTTATATGGTGAATATTTAAAGGAAATTTATTACACTAAAAGGTACATTACCCTTAATCTTCAAAACACTATCCTTCATTTAGAACACACGTATTTCCTTCTGTTTTCAGAAGCAGTTCTGGAAGTTGTCTTTGAGTGTCTGTACAAGGAGTGAATAAAAGCATAATGGTGAATGCTGTCACTATGTACCTTCCAGTGTAAAGGCAGTCTCATAGAAACATTGTGGGGCCTGGGGAGATAGCTTGGCAGCATAAGCTCCCGCCTGGCAAATGCAAGGTCCTGCGTTTGATCCTTAGTACATTAAAAAACAAAAAACCTTGGGGCATGTTCTCATCTGGCACTGTGCAAAGTCTGGTTCCTCTCCAAAATCAAAATTATCATGAAAGGTAAATGTTCTGTATTGATTCAGGACATTGAGAATCCAGGACCATACAATTAAAAGACAAAAGATTTGTCTTCTAGAACTTCAGAAAGTGGCAAGAATGATGAAATTAAAATGTTCAGAGTAAGGGAGAATATTATGAAAAGGATTAAGGAGAATGTCTTTTAGTGTAATAAATTTTTTAATAATGAACATTTGCTATGTTTTCATCGAACCTCATGTGTCCTAAAAGGGAAAACCTTGATTTACAAACATCCTGATTTTTTACTTAGGTAGAAAAGGAAACTGCAAGTCTCCATTTATTTTTTTCTTTGTATTGTACATATTTGCAGCATACAATGCCCATATTAATCATAGGCAGGTGATACAAATACATAGCACGTCTGAATTTGTTTTTATTCTCTTCTGTGCTCCGTTTATGTCTTGGTCCCTTTTTTTTTTTTTTGTGGAACTGGAGATTGAACTCAGGCTCTTGTGCTTGCCAGGCAAGCACTTATTATACTGAGCCATTTCCCCGGCCCCTCTTTGTCCCTTTTATGCAAAGATTTATCTCCCTGGTTCCTCTTAACTTTGATTTTGTTCTATACATTTTGAATTTCTCATATAGGGAAACTGCTGTTTAAGCTTGTGTGCTTTAACATTATGGTCTCCAGTAAATCCATTTTCCTATTAATAACTCCTTTATGTATAAATGCCACATTTTATCCATTCCAATTTGTTTATTTAGAATTACTTTAATTTCAGGAAAGCCAAGTATATGAAAGTGTTATGAATAATTGTATTTATTCTCATTTTAGGGAAATAATTTATATTCCCCAAGCCTAGACTACTTTGTAGTACATCTGTTCTAATTTATATGGCTGGTGGAAATAAATTTCTGAATAGTTTCATTTTGTCATGTCTACTTAGTTTTCAAAAGCTTCATATTGTCATATCTGCCCAGTTTTGAGAAGCCATGTGATCTCATTTTTTATGAACATTTCTGAAATAGTTGAATTAAGAGATAAAGTTATCTGTTGAGTTCACATAGACATTTTACATTACTCTTTTTATTGGTAATGATTTTACTATGTATACCTATAATACACATAAAAATTCATCTGTATAGTTTAAGCAGCATCACTCTATTCTTGGAAATTAGCTGTAGTCATCAACTGGGCAGCAGATGAATTAATGGAATTTTCTCCCGTGTTACCTAATATTTTTCTTCTTCTGTTTTAGCACGCTTCCTGGGCTGTTACAGTCAATGGATTTATCAACACTGAAATGTTATCCTCCTGGCCAGCCAGAAAAATTTTCTGCATTTTTGGATAAAGTTGTTGGATTACAAAAATAAACATTTAAGCTCGTGATACTTTAAAAAATCCCTACATCCAGTCTGTGGAATGTGATTAAGTCTAATTAAATGCAGTTATATTTGTAGACTATGTTTCCTACATCTCTAGTATGTATAGGAAATTTTATGGTGTGAACATTGCATTTAGGTTCAAATCCTAATTGAAATTTAGTAAACATGCTAGATTTCACTAATTTTCAATATATAGTATGGATTTGCAGGCTTTGTCATAGAATCCTAAATGGAGTGTAGGTATTTGGAAAAAGTGAAATTTGAAAATACTGACAAGAATCATAAATACTATTTGACGTTCTTTAGTGTAAAAAGTGAAACTAAAAATTTTCGTGTGAGAACCAGCACCTTTAGCTTAATAATCTAAGGAACACTTTTTTTTCCTTAAGAAGTATAAATGTTGGGTTGTGCTCTGAAATAGAAAAGGTCAGGAATCATCTAGCAATGTTGATCCAAGTTAGTTGATCTGTTGTACCTGGAGAGACGTTATCTTGAGGATTAGTGAGGTTTGGATATGTTGTTTTTCTCCTCTACAGTATAAAGTGAAAAAAATCTTAATGTCAAAGTTTTGAAAAATACAGAATAAAGAGGACTTAAGCCAATAGAATTTGAATGTTTAAAGACACCTTTTCACAATGATAATGAAAAGTACTGCATCAGATTAATTTAACAGTTTATGTGCTTATAAAAGTTTCACAAATGAGTAAATGATATGGGATATAGTTAATTGCTTAAATACGGTTTTAGAATTCATACGTGCCGTAGAATTTCTAATTAGAATGTGTTGTCTTAAGACTTATGATAGATTCTCTGTATCCATAGTTCTCTGGTAAAATATTTAGATATACTTTAACCATGAAAATAGGAGATTGTACGCAACTACTTTGAGTTGTATTGTCCTAAAATGTTAAATATTTCTAACATTTTACTTGGGATGTATTATATACGCTTTTATGGATTTTTTTTTCCTGGTTGTGTTTTACTTAGGCATATATTGAGATAAATTCTTTACTAATGGTAGAAGGTGGTGGCTGAGATGTATTCTGGGTAACAGGAGGAAATCACCTTGGATTAAAAATATGCTGAGAGTAATTAAATAGTAGTTCACATCTACATAGTTGAGAATTCATGACACCATCATCATAATTGTATTTTAATGCTATACTGATGTTTTACAAAAGAACTTTTTCAAATCCAGGGAGAGAATCTTAAATTTTATGGGCCCTCTTTTTTTTTAATGGGCCCTCTTTTGAAATGTTTATCTCAATTTTGAGAACAATTAAGATATGAAAGATTATATTGGTCACTCCTTATCTTGTGGCCTGCAGGTTAACCAGTGCATACTCAAACATCAGGAAGATTAAACAAAACAGTACACCCCAAAAATGTTTTCTACATTTCAGAAATAATTATAATTTACCTTTTATTATTTCATTCAAAAGAGATTTAAATAGCTCAGCAGCATAGCATGTCCAGGCCAGCTCAAGACAGGTTGATTACTGGTAACCCCAAAAAAGATTTAAACCATGGTGTCAATTGTATGTAGTAACATCTTGGCACATCTGTGGTATTTTACATTGTTTTATAGCAGAGTACTTTAGAATTTGTCTCATTGGGGCTGGAGAGATGGCTCAGTGGTCAAAAGCACCTACTTAGAACAAGCTTGGCAAAGCATCAGGGACCGCGGTTCAATCCCCCAGCACCACATGCCAGCCAGACTCGCCCCCTGGTGGGCTGAGCTGGCCACACACACATCACACACACTCTCTCTCTCTCTCTCTCTCTCTCTCTCTCTCTCTCTCTCTGTCTCTCTCTGTCTCTCTCTCTGTCTCTCTCAAATAAATAAAAAAAAAATTAAAAAAAAAAAAAGAATTTGTCTCATTGGCCAGAATTCTCAAGAGTATCTCACCTAGTCCCCTGCTTTCTTAGGTGAGAAGAGCTCAGAGGCTATAATTTGCTTAAAATAACAGCTTTTACATGAGCCACTGAAGCAAGCACCGTACCTCAGTCTTGTGCATTTTTCTGTCATCCTGCAATATAAATTTAAGCTTTTTCTTCATAGTTTTTTTGTCTACCATTTATTCGTCCCTTTTTTTTTATTTAAGGAAACGGGGCTTGAACTCAGACTCTTGTGCTTGCCAGGGAAATGCTTATTCCACTGAGCTATCTTCCCCGGCCATCCCTTCTAAGGAAGGTTTTTTTTTTTTTTTTTTTTTTTTTTTTTTAAATTTGTCAGCTCTTTATTTTAGCAGGAGATCACACTTGATTTACCTTTATTGTATCACAACCTTATTTAGGACTTAGAAACTTGGATTTTCTGAGTTTCTTCAGAGTGTACTAAAATGCTTTGGGTAGGACTAATCAAGACAACTGACTTTTTGGAGTGAAGAAAATGGTACAGGTCACAAATTTTGAACATGGCTAAGTTAAATTCCAAGGTTACATCCTTCTGGACCTTATGAAAAATGGTAGTAACATTTATATTTTCTGTATTTTACAATTGTTTTATTACATGATATGGCTGTAGCTTCTTAGGTCAGTAAACATAATGTAATTTTTTAAGCAGTTTTCTATTAGGTATAAAATTTTCAGGTAGAAAGTATAATACTGAGAAATTTCTACTGTGGGCAGGTTCAGAAGTAGACAGCTAATACTTTCTGGTGTTGGAATAGATGAAACGTGATTTGATCTTATGAGGTTGCCTTGGAATTTGAGAATATTATTTAATGATGCTGACAATTGGGAATAAAAACGCTGGAAAGATTTTGTAGTAAAATCGTCTAACCAGTGAACTTTATGTAGGGTTCCAGAACATTTAAGTCTAAAAAGTACTGTTGAGGTGTTTGATTTTACTTTTATTTTATTTTTTGAGGTGTTTGATTTTAGATACTTTCAGTTTGCATACTTTTAAAGGTCAATCCTATGTAGGCACAAAGGATAGTATAAAAAGGCAAAGATTGAAGTCAGCCGTGACTAGTAGTAATATAAATTTTCATGGTCCTTTATTTTAGGACATAAGCACTTAATCCCACTGATTTGTAGAGACTGAAAATGTCCAGTTTGGGAGACAGGATAGATACATAGACAGATTTTGAATTGATTTTTGGAAAAGATTGTAATGAGCATCCATAATAGTCATAAGGTGATCAGTTTTCTGCTGTACAAAATAGTACCATTTTTATGGAGGAGCCTGGAATGCAGAATTAAATGTGCTTAACAATTCTGAATGCTTTGTGTGTATTAGGCACTATTCAGAACATTTTATACCTGTGAACTTACTCAGTGTTTATAGTAACCTTATGAAATTGTTGCTATTCCATTTTGCAAATGAAGCAGCAGCTTAGGAGTTTTATGTGATTTATGGCTCCAAGAGGTAGGAAAGGGTCTGGAAATTATAATTGGAGCACTGAATTTTCTGTAAATTCCCATCATTTATGGGGACAGTGGGACCAAATGTTGGGGATCAAATGACCTGATAATTCAAATTGTGTATAACCTGTGGAGTTTTTAGGTTTATTGAAGTACTGTGGAATTATTCCAGGGCCTTCACATGGAGCTATAATTCTGACCCTTTGTATTTTTCGTTTTGACACGGTTTCACTTAAGTTGCTATGTTGCCTAGGCTGGGCTCAAAATTATTATCCTTCATCACAGCTTCCCAGAGTGTTGCGATTATAGGCATATACCATCATGCTGGACTCCTTTTTTATGTTTTAGCTTTTGAGACAGGGTTTGCTAGGTTGTCCAGGCTCTTTCCATTTTACAGATGAAAAGCATATAATCAATTTAAGTGGGTAAATCAAGTACATAATGTTCTTCATGCTAATCAAAAACTAAAATAATAACTCAAAAGTATTCTTTTTTTGGCAGAACTGGGGGTTGAATTGAGGCCCTTGCGCTTGCCAGGGAAATGCTTATTCCACTGAGCTATCTCCCCGGCCTCTCAAAAGCATTCTTATATGTTGTATATCTACAACTGTAGTTTATCACAGATAATAGCATGCTTTTCTAAAATAACTTCTAGCAAGGTGTGATGAGATATACCTGTAATCCCTCCCAGAACTCCGGAAGCTGAGGCAGGGGGTCCTGGACTACATAGCAAAACCCTGTCTCAAAAAACCTGAGAAAAGAACAGGAAAGCTTGGAACTAATTTAGCTGATTGGCTAGGCACATTGGTCAACTCTTTATAATCCCACCATTTGAGCGACTAAGGCAGGAGATCTTAAGTTCCAGGCCAGCCTGAACAACATAATGAGACCATGTTTCAAAAGTTTATTTGGTTGAAACATGGAGTGTTACCTTAGAATTAAAACCATTAGTATTCATTTGTTTTGTTAAAGTGTCCCATTTATTAAATAGAAATGATTCCGGCAGTTAATTTTTTGAGCAGAGAATAGTTACTGGACCACTTCCATCAGATAGCAAGTAACAGTAATTGATATTTAACTAGGTACTAAGGCCAAAGCACTGAGCACTGAACATCCAGTATCCTGTAATTATTCTAACAGCCTTAGGTTTTAAACCACAGAAAAATGTCTAGAGCAACATTTCTTTCAAACTGAAGCATTGCAGGAACAACAGAAAAGTCAAAACAGTGTAAAACATACCCTAGGACCTTTAACATCCGTAGTGGGTTGTGTAAACCTCAAAGCTAAGGTTATGATAGTGTTTATTATAGGAATACTAAATAACCTGTGAAACACACAGTTCTAGAGCCGTAGTTCTCAAAGGGTATTCTTTGGACCCAGCAGTATCAAAATGACATGGGTGCTTGTTAGAAAGCAGATTCTTGAGATCTGTGCCAGACCTGCTGAATCAGAATCTTTGGGCAAGATACCTTTTTTTATAGCAAGACGTCAACTTAAGGATCACTATTCTAGAATTTGGTAAGTTTGGAGTGTAGATTGCTGTGGAAAATACTGAGTTGAGATTTCAAGTACTAAATATTTGTATCAAAGGACAATATTAAATACCTTGAAGTTGTATCTGTTATACGATGAAGTTAGCATTATATATCCCACAGGTCTTTGAAATCTATTGATCATAGTAAGTTGTAGAATGTATATTTTATCATTTTCAACTCCTGTTTATCTTATAGTTGATACGTGATTCTTTTTTTGTGATTCTTTATAATTGTGCAAACATGGAGATTTTGTTGTGTTGTATGATTACTTGTTAGGAAAATGGAACAAGTCTTGTAATTATTTGAAGCTTGCTCATTTGTAAGAGGTTTCGTGGCTGTAAAAGTTCACTTATTTTTGCAGTGTATTCTGTTTCAGTAACAATAAAATACTTCAATTTTGTTTTTAAAACTTTTCAGTTAACATGTAAATAATTCAAAATATTAAATTTTACAAGGCTTATAAGAAGCAACATTCCTATGTCTACATTCTTTCTGATCTTACGTAGGTCACCCTGTTATATTGTATACTTTATGAATAGTATGCTCAAATAGGTTTTTTAAATTTCGAATATTCTTACAGATTTCTTATGTGGAATACGATTTTTTAAAAAAATTAATAATTAAAAAAGTTAATTGACATCTTACACATTGAAAGTACAGTTGTAATGTTTTACTATCTATACAGTGGAATGATTACATCGAGTTAATTAACATCCACCATCTTATTTTTTGACATTTAAAATTTCCTCATTCATTTTGAAATATTTTATTCCTTCTTCTGTGCAACAGATCTTAGAGTATGTCTCAGTGTCTATCTGAAACTACCATTTAGTCAGCTGCCTATTCTCTGTCTCAACCCTATTCCCAGTCTCTGGTGACCACTTGTTTTACTCTTTGTATGAGCTGATCTTCTTTAGATTCCACATATGAATCTTTCTGTGCCTGGCTTATTTGACTTAGCATAACATTCTTCAGTTTTATCCATGTTGTCACAAGTGACAGTATTTTTAAGGTGAAATCATAGTTGGTTGTATATATTTTTTTTTATTTATCATTCCATTATCTTGGCTAATGTGAGTGGTTTTACAGTGACCATGTAAGTAGCACAGCCTTTGACACTTGATGTCATTTACTTTGGGTATATACCCAGAAGTAAGATTACTGATTTAGGTTGTAGTTAATTTTTTTGTGAAACTTCCTTGCTATTTTCTGTTGCAGTTGTACTAACTCACATTTCTGCCAACATTGTGGAAGAGTTACCTTTTACACTGCATCCTTCCTAATACTTAATTGTAAAATGTTACCTCATTTTTTTAACGTCATTGGTTTTATTTTGCATTTATCTAATCAGTGATGCTTAGTGTACTTTGATAATGTATTTGTGTTCTGTTGTCTTTTGAAAAATACTCTTCTGGTGTTTTGCCAATTTTGAAAAGCCTTGTTTTCTTGTTGTTGAGTTGATTTCTGTATACATTTTGGATATTACCCTGTCATCAGGTACATGGTATAAACGTTTTCTCCCTAGTTTGATCCCATCCTCTTCTTAAGGGTCATAAAAATGTTACCTAATGTCAGAGTTTTTCCCAGGTTCACCTAGGTTTCTGGTTTCATACTCAGGGCTTTTACACTGAGCTCTTTACCCAGTGGTATTTTTACTTTTTTACTTTCCTAGGTTGGGCTTGGATTTGGGATTTTCTTGTTTCA